AAGAGCGGCCAAGATCACCTATTACAGCTCAAGGAACAGTCTTCTCAGAGTTCACTTCTCTTGCTGCCTCGTGCTGATGGCCTTGCTCCCGGCACCTTGGGTGGTGGTCTTGTTACTCGCAGTGCTCACATTCACCTTGTATACACTGCTTCCAATGTGCCCAGGGTTGGGAACCTACACGAATGAGCTGATTAAGAATCTGTATAACTCTTTACAATTGATACGAAAAGATCATCCAAATATACATGTGAGGGCTTCCCTGGTGGCGCAGTGGTTGAGAGTCCGCCTGCCGATGCAGCGGACACGGGTTCGTGCCCCGGTCCGGGAAGATCCCACGTGCCGCGGAGCGGCTGGGCCCGTGAGCCATGGCCACTGAGCCTGCGCGTCCGGAGCCTGTGCTCCGCAACGGGAGAGACCGCAACAGTGAGAGGCCCGCTTCTGGGAGTAAGAGTGAAGAAAAAAAAAAAAAAAAAAAAAAAAACATGTGAGAAATCACTGTGCGAAAAACAACCCCAGAAAACCGTACAATCTACTACTTATGAAAAATATGTATAGAATGTCACCATTTATATAGCATGAGAAACAAAAAGAAAAAAAAAGTATCGTGTGCTAGGATTTATGTATGCTTATTAACGCTTAGAACATTTCTGGAGGGAAACTCAAGATAGTGGTAAAACAGTGGGTACCTCCAGGAGGGAAAAACAGGTGACTCAAAACTAGAAACAGAAGGCAAATTTTTTACTGTTATGTAACCTTTGAATTCTGTACCATCTGCATGTAGCAAAAATTAAATAAAACCATTACAAGATTTTTTTAAAAAGGTGTGTGTGTCTGTGTGTGAGGGCCACAGACAAACACAGAGACAGGGAGACAGAGAAGGTTAAACAGGACCTGAGAAAGGAAATGGGGAAGCAATCCTGAAGAAAAATATCTGAGCTCTGCTATATTTTTTGCTGTTTAAACATTTATCATTTATTTTGGGATAAGTACTAGTTAAAATGTAAGGTTAAAAGAAAAGTCTTTTCTGCATGAGGGAAATACTAATCTGTTTTGTATTCCTTCGATCATTCAAGCATCTGAATGCCAACTATGTTCCAGGCACTTTGCACAAGATGCCAGGGATACAGAAATATAAGACACCACCCTATCACCACTGGGCTCCCACAGTACTGAAGAAACACCCTCCAAAAAACCCCAACATAATGACCACCTAGAAACTGCTTGAAATTGAAGCAAAAAGACTGTAAGGCAAGTGATAACACCTCAAGGCATGTTAGAAAACGACCGAGAGTTTAAGAGAGGACACGAACCACGACCTCTCAGCGAAGCACGCACTGCTGGCAGGCTAACCCTGTAATTCTAACACTTTTCTCCCTTCATCGCCTCTCATTTGAGAAGCTGAAAAAAAATCCCGGATTCCCTAATTCCCAGTCTCCCCTACAGTTGGAGGTGGTCACTGACTCCATACCGGTCACTAAGATCTAGGAGGAAATCTGAACAGTGGCTTCTGAGAGAGAACTGGCTCGTCTGGTCACAGGACAGACAAGAGCAAGCTGCTGGTGCTGCCCTTGCCCCTTCTTCTGGCATCTTTTGGGTGCAGGCGCTACCTGGAGTTGCAAAGCATCTTCTCAGGACAAGGAGACAGCATTAGGCTTAAAAACGTGCCTATTAAGGATGTCAGAGTAGAAATCAGACAGGGCCTAAGCTGCCATATACACCCTATACACAGGACAGCTCATCTTTCAGACTTCCTGTTAGGTGAGATCATTAAATATCTTTCTCACTTAAGCCAATACTGGCCAGATTTTCTGTTACCTGCAGCAAAAAGCAATCCAAATTCAGCCTCAAAGAAAAGCTTTCTTCAAGTACCCAGAAAAGTTAGATTTTGGCAACACCAATGGGGAACAAGGTGAATGCCAAGACAAGCTCCATAAGTGAGACTGAAAAGCTTCCATTAAAGATATAAAAACGACTTTTGCAACAGTAAGAAGTAAAACAAACTTATGAGGTTAAAAGAACACAGACTGTAGGAAAATACAAACAAAAGAATGAAAGCAATTAGAAGGTGATAGCTAGAGACAACTAAAAACAGAGAGCAATATATGAATAACAGTAGAGAAAACAAAACTGTATAACACAGATACCCCAATATACGGTGACACAACACTTTCTCAATGATAAGATCAAATTTTTAAAAATTTTAAAATGTTAGGAATATAGACAAAAATGTCTAATTATAATATTTAATATAATCTAATTATACATTTATATAGCAGGAAATACTGTTTTCTCCCCACTTTCCAGTTTTACAAAACAATTTTAACCAAATTTTTCACATCTGTCATCAGTATAAATGTCTTTTATTGATTCATCTATGTTTTCCCGATACACATGATCTTCATTTCCTTTTAAGTTAACTGAAAGAGAGCACTTTTAAAATCTGTTTATGTTGTCAGTGGAATTTTTTCTATGTCCTAATTCCCATACGCATAATATTGGGACTTAAAAAAAATCATCCTAGAGAGTTCATATGCATGATTGTCACAACATAACCATACTGCCTTTTAAGTGACTTTAGAAGGCTTACAACAGTATCTACTATCTGCAATTATGACATCAGTATTAAATTTCTTTGATGCCTCTTTTTAAAACTGATTCTGCCTGAGGACCTCTATAAACACTCAAAACTAACTCAGTGAAGTTTTCTTCCCCCAAACCACTTTGTTATTTAATGTATTTTAAAATTTGAGAGCGCATCCTGTGTGCTCTCAAATAACACATCTCAAATAATACGAGAGACTTTATAAGAAAGAATTCATTTGTAAGCTAAGACAACTTTATGACAAACAAATTTTGGAATATTTTTCCTTATTTTAAGATATATATGGATTTTTTTAAAATAGTGAAATGAAAACTTTCCTGAAACAAAGAAAAACCAGAATCTGCAGGCAGAAAGCGTACAAAATGTTCCAAGAGAGACAGAATCAGAATTATTAATACTAAGCCATATTCTGGTGAATTTCAATTCTAAAGAAAGAATCCTTCAAGCACTGAGGAAAGATAAAGTAAATTACCTTCAAGAGGAGAAGCTTTATGCTGACCTCAAACTTTTCTACAGAAACATTAAATGCCAGAACATATAATGTGATTGTAAGGGAAAAGCGGTCATCAAAAATACTTATTCACGTATAAAAGCATCAGTTAGACACTCTCAGAAATGCAAACAGTAACTGCATTGAGGGAATACAGCATCCATAAGCTCGGCATGAAAAAAAATTGATGAAATCCAGAAAAGTTGGAGATAAATTCAAGTATCTCTGGAAAGGGGTATCTAAGTTATAAAAGAACTAACAATAAGAATTGAATCTGTCTAAATATAGAATCAAGTCCAAACAACTCTAAGAATTATAATTTCAGAACAAAAGATAATTATTAAATATTTTTACCCTGTCAAGATGAACAAAAATCAGTGGGGAAGAACTGTAAAGACACTAATTTCCGCACCTTTCATGGCAGACATTCAAAATAACATCAAAATTTTCACTTTTTTAACCAACTTGCTTATTTTTAAAAATTGAGAGATTTAAAATGTTCACATATGTAAGTTATTTTTAATCATTTTAGAGAAAAATTAAATATTTGTGTTTCAGAGCTCCCAAAAGCTCTATGAGAAACTAAGAGGTCCAAAGAGCTACATGATTAAATTGAGAAGATGGCTCAGGTGAGGCAGAAACAGGGACCAAATTCTATACCAAATGTATAGAACCACCAGACGAAACTACATCTTATAAATCTGAGAATGAACTTATAGGCCAGGGTTGGAGAGCTTGTGAGAAAAAGGAACTCTCACGCCCTTTAGTCTAAGAACTCCACTCCAAAAAGCCTGCCACAGTACACAGACACCTGTACAAGGACGTCCAGTGCAACACTACCTGTAACAGTGGAACACTAAATACAACCTAAGTATCCATAACAGAAGAGGCTAAACAAAGTGTGATACAGCCATAAAGTGTATCCGATGGAAAACACTGCAGATGTTACAAGAAAGTTGTAAAGAATGGGGTGCATCAATACACAGTGACATGGAAAGATACCCATGAGAGACAAAGTGAAAAGAACTAGATGCAGACATACATAGATACGATCCCACTTGTTTTTAAATGTCAAAGGCTACACACATATGCTTGTTCCACGCGGTCACAGAAAATACAGTAAGGAATCAATGTGGAGTTATTCACATTGCTTACCCCTAGGGAATGAGAATGAGTGGGAGGAACAGAGAGCTTGGGGTTCATGCATGTCTGCACTCCTGAATACGTTTACCATGAGCATTTACTCCTTTAAAACTAAACGCCAATAACAATATAACCTTATTTAAAGAACGTGCTATCCCTTATGAATCATTCAGATGTTTCTAGGTGAAGCATTCAACATAAATACAAAACATCTGGTAGAATATGTGTTGACATACATTCAAACCTTTTACCTTGAAATAGTAAAATCTTAGTGATGAAAGAAGAAAGAAACTAAAAGACAGATGCTAAGGGAAAGATAAAGGAAATTCAAGGTCCTGAGAAAGAAGAGATGCTTAACATTGTACTCTTTCACATGAGCTATAAAGCCTCATTTCACAGCCATCATAAAATAAATAAACTGAGTACTTTATGGCATAAGGTGTTAATGATCCATATACTTTTTAAAAGTATGTTCTACTTTACTAGATACCAAGTTTATTTGGGAACAAGGATACTTTAATTCAGCTGCTGAAACTGGTACGTAATGTGACCCTGAAATGGTCATTTAAACTATCTTTTACTTTCAATCTAGATTGTCTTTCTATTTTGCAACTGACAGAGATTTATGCTAATGGGAATGACTTCAATAAACCACCTTTTCCTGCCTTTAGAGAAGCTTTGCCTTATCTTAGTTCCTGCATTACCAAATATGATGGTAGATATTTCCAAAACAGGAATACTTTATAATATTTTAAGAACCTGAGAACACTCTCAAGCAGGATACTTTCTAAAATCAGAACATTTTTTCAGTGGCAGTGGTGGTAGCACTTAAAAGAAGTTTAGTTTAAAAAGGTGTAAATGTTCCTCCTATGTCTAAAATGCATGTGTATTGAAGCAGAAATGATATACTTTTCTTCCTCAGAATAATTCACAAAAAGATCCTTAAAAGGGAAGTATACAACAGTTGTCATAAGGCTTAGGAGTTCTTTTGAGCGCCCTTGCAAAATTTATCTGACCTTCAAATGATTCTCTATACTGGACAATATTTGGATGCTTCATGTTTGCCAGTACTGCAACTTCTCTCCTTGATTCTTCCCTTTCTTTACTGGACATCTTAAATAGAAGGAAAAAAGAAAATAGTAAATTAAGTAAATAAACAACATAATAGTCCATCAAAAAGAGAGTGGTTAAAAATAATGCTACCGGGACTTCCCTTGTGGCGCAGTGGATAAGACTCCGCGCTCCCAATGCAGGGGGCGTGGGTTCAAACCCTGGTCAGGGAGCTAGATACCACACGCGTGCCGCAACTATGGAGTCTGCAAGCCACAACTAAGGAGCCTGCAAGCCGCAAGGAGCCAGTAAGCCACAACTAAGGAGCCCGCAAGCCGCAACTAAGGAGCCCGTCTGCCGCAACTAAGGAGCCCGTCTGCCGCAACTAAGACCCGGCACAACCAAATAAATAAATATTTAAAAAATAATAATAATGCTACCAATGAAGCACAGCCCAAATACTAAAATACAGCTAGAAGTTAAAAAGAATAAGTTGAAGGCACAAATATAACAAAAACATTTTAAGATGTTCAAACCAGATTAAGTCACAGAACAGTAGGTGAGGTATCTTTTTTAAACACATAAACATTAGCACACATCACAGAAAAAAATCTGAAAGGATTTACAGACTCTTCTGCAATTAGCAGTTCTCTCTGCGATTATGGCAGTCTTTCACTTTAGGTCATACATTGCCGTATTTTTTTTTATTCTCTCCTGTAACCAGACTTCTACTTGGATGACCAAACGAAAAATATACTTACGCTTGAGATGTTAATTTCTTTGATAACATACTGTCTGCCATCTTCTATAGATTTAACAAGAATGGCTTTTCCGAATGAACCTTCTCCAATCTTCTGTACTCTAACATACTTCTCCATGGTTCTTTTTCTAAGGCATCTTAACAGATAGGCTAGATATTAAAAATAAAGAGTAACAGTTAATAGAAATAAAGCATGTCATCTATAACAATTATAATATTTAATTCAAATTCTATTCCTCAGTGATTTGCTTACTTAAAAAAACGATATATAAAATCTTTACTGAAGGTTAAATAAACTTTACCTCAATTTTAGTCATGCAACCTAGAGATAGCTAAAAAGAAAACCAGTGACATTTCAATCTTATAAGAATACTTTGGAAAGTCAAATACTGTACATACTTAATGGAGGAAGAAGCAAACCTTTTCCTACATGAACTAATTAATTAGCAGCATTACTTTACTACCTGCAATAAGAATACAAGCTTAATAAGACTATTTCCCAAAGTTATTTACCTAATCCTCTCTTACTAGACATTTAAGCTGTTTACAGCGTTTGCTATTATAAAAGAACTTCAGATTAAATTTCTGTACATACATTTTTATGTACTCATTATAAACATTTCCATAGTACACACTGTGAGTTCAAAGAATATGCACATGTTAAAGCTTTCAAACACACTGCTGTCTTACAGAAACGCCTACTAGCTTGCTTGCATTCTGACCAGCAGTGAATAAAAATGCCTGTTCCTACGTACTCTTTTAACAGTGGTTATTATTTATTAAAATCCTTCAGAGGCAATAAAGGGTAGTAGTCAAAGAGCACTAAAACCTTAGAGTCAGAGAGCCTGGGTTTAAATCCTGGCTTTGGCACTTACTCGCTATTTGACCTTGGACAAGTTACTTATCTTTAAGTGGCAGTTTGTTCATCTGTACAATGTGGCCAACAACAGGACCTGCTTATAGAGCTGCTGGGAGGATTAGTCAATTTCATTAATGTCTGGAGAACAGTGACCTACACACAGTGAGCACTGGGTCACAATCTGTTCTTACTGTTATTCATTATGTTGGATGGGGGGAAGCAGTGTCTCATTTTTTTTAATAAGTTGCTTTGCTTACCAATGAATCTGAAAAATTCTTCCACATTTCTGAACTGTTGCATTTCTTCTCTTTTGAACTATTCATTCAGGTTCTTTGTCCATTTTCTACTGGGATAGTCTTCTTTATTGTTTTTTAATTTAAGTATAGTTGATTACAATACTGTGTAAATTTCAGGTGCACAACAAAGTATTCCAGATACATGTATACATATTTTCAGATTCTCTTCCATTATAGGTGTTTACAAGATTAGGAATATAGTTCCCTGTGCTTATACAGTAGGTCCTTGTTGTTTATCTATTTTGTATACAGTAGTTTGTATCTGCTAATCCCAAACTCTTAATTTGTCCCTGCCACCCCTGTTTCCCCTTTGGTAACCACAATTTTGTTTTCTATTACTGTGAGTCTATTTCTGTTTTGTCAGTAAGTTCATTTGTATCATTTTTTAGATTCCACATAAGTGATATCTTATGATATTTGTCTCTGTCTTACTTCATTTAGTTTGACAATCTCTAGATCCATCCATGTTGCTGCAAATGGCATACTGCACTCTTCTTTATGGCTGAGTAATATTCCATTGTATATATGTACCACATCTTCTTTATCCATTCCTCTGTCGATGGATACTTAGGTTACTTCCATGTCTCAGCTATTATAAACAGTGCTGCTATAAACATTGCATCCTCTTTATTGTTTCTAGTTGCTTGTTACAGTGATCTGCATTTCTATCAATAATCTTTCTTAACTCCTTCAGCATTTTTATTACCTCCTTTTCTAAATCAGGGTCTGGTAGACTGGAGAGGTCTGTTCCATTGTTTGTTCCTTCAGGGGATTTCTCTTGTTCTTTTACTTGGGAGTAGTTCCTCTGCTTTTTCATTTTAGTTAAATTTCTCTGACTCTAAGAATTTAAGAGAAACAGTTATCTATCATGGTCTCACAGGGCTGTTTTTATGTGGGAGTGTCCCTGTGTAGACTGTGTGAGTCTGATATTTTTGGTGTGAAGGCTGTTTTTAGTGTGGAGGCTTGCCACGTCTTTCCTCAGGGTGTGCTGGTCCTTGTCCCCTTGCTAAGGGGTGTGTCTGGTGTGGTGACCAGAACCTGCAGTGGATACTGTGTGGGGCCTCTTCTCTGCCCTGTAGTTGTCACAGCCCTGTCAGGGACAGGGTGTGCTCCTCAGCTGTCACAGGTGAAACCCCCAGATCCAGTTCCAAGCTGCAATACAAGGAACGAGGGCCTGGAACACTGGGAGACAGGAGCCAGTGTGTGCTCCTCCCCAGGAGCTATCCATCAGGACACGCAACTCTGTGATGCCACCCGTGTGCACACGCAGACTTCACTGTTAATGAACTAGTGCTAGTGCTGCCCTCAAGGGCCACCTCAGGGCCACCGTGGACGTCCCTCAGGCATGCATGAGCTATCCCAAAACCCACGCACCACCAAGAGAGCCCGCCACAGTCACAGCCTGGGACCCGCTGTGGGAGGACCGGTGACTGTCTCTGATTTCAGCCCCACCTCTGTGTGCACGCCCACAAACTGCACAAAGTCCACGGCAGCCAGAGCCATGCCCGCTGTGAGCATGCTGATAATGGGCTGCTAAGGCGGCCCACACCCCTCCCTTTATGCACTGACAACAGGCTCCGACGGCGGGCCCACGCTCCTGCTGTGCGCACCCCCAGTTGTGTCCTGTGCCACACCCCAGGCCCCTCGGGCTGTCTCCATGCACCCAACCTGAGTCCCTCCCCGGGTCTGTCTGCTGAAGCCTAAATTGCAGCACCCAGTTGCTGCACATACCAGCAGGCGCATCACAGGCTGTAAAGTGCAGCGGCATGGCCAAGACGGTCTGTGCTGCACTCTCTCTACCCTGTAGGACAGCAGGCCGGCTTCCACACTGTCCTCTCAAGCCTCTGAAGCTCCCTATCTGTCCCACCAAACCTCCCAGCCAGTAAAGGAGGTTCCCAGAGCGAGGGAACATTTCCTCTTTCACAGCTCCCTTCCAGGGGGCAGGTCCCATCCCAATTCCTCGTCTCCCTTTTCCCTTTGTCCTATTTAATTACTTGGGGATCTTTACTGCAGCTTTGGTTGTATGAGATTTTCTGCCAGCTTTCAGTAGGTATTCCATGAGAATAGTTTCACATATAGATGTATTTTTTTAAATGTATTATTTATTTTTGGCTGTATTGGGTCTTTGTTGCTGCGCGCAGGCTTTCTCTAGTTGCGGCGAGTGGGGGCTACTTTTCATTGTGGTGCATGGGCTCTCATTGCAGTGGCTTCTCTTGTTGCAGAGCACGGGCTCTAGGTGAGCAGACTCCGTAGTTGTGGCTCACGGGCTCTAGAGCACAGGCTCAGTAGTTGTGGTGCATGGGCTTAGTTGCTCCGCAGCATGTGGGATCTTCCCGGACCAGGGCTCAAACCTGTGTCCCCTGCACTGGCAGGCAGATTCTTAACCTCTGCACCACCAGGGAAGTCCCACAGATGTATTTCTGACGTACCTGTGGGAGGAGGTGAGTTCCACATCCCTCTACTCCACCATCTTCGAGTTCATCTTCTTTTCATTAGTTTGTAGAAGCTTCTTTAATGACGATGTTAGCCCTTCTCCAGTATGAATTTTTTTTGCTTATATGCCATTTGTCTTCAATTTTATTGAAATACAAAAGTTTATTTTGATGGGAACAAATTTATTAATGTCTTCCTTGTATTTCTGCCATCAGTATCACACTTAGAAACTTACTGTACCAAATACCGTAGGATACTTGATTAAGGTTGTTAACTTCAGCAAGAGTAACTTCAGGAGAGTGGTGGAGACAGAAACGAGAGTACAATAGGTTAGGTAGTGAAAGCTTAAAAAAGTGAAGGGAAGGGGAGGAGGACAGATGGAGGGAGGGGAAGGGAGAGAAAAAGTGTCCCAAAAGCAACCTCTAGCATGCTTATTGGCAAGATCACACATACTGTGAAGATACATGAATTCACTTTGTTAATCTAAAAATAATAAATATTTAATTTAGGGGGGTGTGGCCAAGATGGCAGAGTAAGAAGACCCTGAGCTCACCTCCTCCCACAAACACACCAAAAGTACAGCTATTCAAAGAGCAGCTACCTATAAGAACAACTGGAAGAACAGCAGAAAAGATTTTCTGCAACGGAAGATACAAAGAAGGAACCACAATGGGATGGGTAGGAGTGGTGGAGACCTGGTATAGACAAGACACACAGCCATGGACAGGTGACCCACAAATAGGAGAATAATCACAAATGCAGAAGTCCTCCCCGAGAAGCAAGGGGTTCAAGCCCCACGTGAGGCTCCCCAGCCCAGGGCTCCTGCACAGGTTGATGAGCCCCCAGAATACCTGGCTTTGAAGGCCAGCAGATCTTGCGTACAAGAGAGGCAGAGTGCTGTAGGAAAAAAAGACTCTAAGAGGGCACACACAAAATCTCACCCACTCTGAGATACAGCTCTGAGAAGCAATAATTTGAAAGAAGCTTATATCAAACCCACCTGCTAACCTTGGAGAGCCCCCCCAGAGAGGCAGGAGGGCCACTGGGACTCCCCTGGGGACACAGACGCTCGCAGCAGCCATTTTTGGAAGTCTGTTCTTCCACGAAGACACTGATGGTACAAAAGCCAGCTTGGAGTCCTCCCTCTAGCCTATTAGCAACAGGAGTTTACCCAACCACTAACCAGATGGCAACAGCACTGGAGGCCACCCCCTGGGGACCTGTAGTCAGCTACGCTAGTACCCAGCCCCACCCACCAGTGGCAGCCACCACAGGAGGCAGGACCTGACAATCAACCAGGCCACAGGGCAGCCCCACCAAGAAAGAAGGGCCCACTAAGGGACACTCCTAGAGCACACAGCTCTTGTGACCAAAGAGAAGTGTGCCACTGGGCCCCATAGGACAACTCCCACACAAAGCCACTTGTCCAAGATTGGGAAACACAACCGACCTACCCAATTCATAGAAATAAAGATAGATAATTAAATAAAATGAGGAGACAGAGGAATACATACCATAGGAAGAAACAAGACAAAACCCCAGAAGGACTAAGCAAAATGGAGATAAGCAAGCTACCCAATAAAGAGTTCAAGGTCATGATCATACAGATGCTCAATAAATT